GAAACTAAGACAGCAGGACTGCGAATTTGAAGGCAGCCTGGGCTACCTAGCAAGTTCTAGACCAGGCTGAGCTATGTAAAGAGACTCTACTCAGAGGCAGAAAGGAGAGAGAAAGTGAAAGGGGGAGGGATAAAGTGGGAAACGAGGAGAAAGGATGAGAGAGGAGGGACACAAAGGCCCATTACAGAAACTAAAACTTGAAACCAGGTATTTTTATCAGACTTTTCAGTGATCCGGTACGTGCCAATGTGTATGGGTGAGCAGGAGTGTTCACATCCGCTCGCATAGGACTAAAGTTAATAACTAAGGCAAAGGTTAGGAGACGCGCTCCATTAGCTGGACACAGAAGAGACGGAAGCATGGAGGACTTGGTCATTAGCATGGCTTGGGAAGGACACAGCGAGTGGTAACCGACTTCAGGGGTCAGAGTGACTGTACCACGTGACTGCGATCTGCAGTCCAGGTGTGATAGATAAGCTTCTGACCGCTCAGCCGGTGACCTGGGAGCTGCACTTTGAGACCAGAGGTCCAAGCAAGTGAAGCAACCAGGCCAGGTTTCTCAAATGTTTGTGCCAGGGCCTCAGCCCGATGAACACAATAGACCCGCAGTAGAGTCTTTGCATGGGCAAAGATCCACCTTAGGGATGGGGTAGGAGGCGAGGTTGTTTCTAGGGTGCAGGCAGAGCTGGGAACAGCAGGGGCTGAGGCTGTTGAAAACATCTGGACTGAGAGAGCCAGGATCAGTCCTGGGGAAATAGACTTGACCACATTCACCAGAGAGCCCCATTCTTGGAGCCCCATGAATGTAGCACCCTAAATACTCATTCTGGTGTCCTTTCCCCACTCAGAGTCAATGCTCTGCTAGTCTAAGCCTTGCAGTGCGGCTCCATGGACCGTCCAGATGCCTCAACAGGCAAAGGCGCTTACTGCTAATTCCATCCATGGGATTCACACGTGTTGGAACAGGAGAACCCACTTCCAACCTACGACATTCACAAACTACCATGGCTGACGAATGTAACCCCCCCACACACAATACATAAATAAAAATGAAACCACTTTTCTTTTAAAATATTACACTTAAATTTCTCTATTATGTTAAAAAAAATAAATAAAATGAGTTTCCATAATTCACAAGCAAACAGTATTAGTGTCAGGATTTTTTTCTTTCGACAATGCTGCCCTCTAGTGTCTTTACAAGCAAGCATCATGTAAAAAATTCACCAGAGCTACCAATAAGATCATTTCCTGCTTGCTAGCAAAATTCAGGGGATTTTTCTTTATAAATCAATCGACCAATCTATAAATAAAGTATATAATTCTATTTATATGTAAATATATCAATTAATCAATAATTACTATAATAATTTAATTTAACTTTAAGGTACTACCTATTCAATTCTCCAAGTTCTCAGGCAAAGCTGAGCTTCCTCCACGGACAAGAACTCCCAGTACCTCCTTCCCCAGTTCCTCCCTGCCCTCTCTTCAGAGCCACACACAACAGGCAGAAGGTGTGGCCAGCAGCTAAAGGCCTGTGAACCTCTGCCTCACCTCTCCCGCCCACCCTTTCCACTACGTCACAGTCCCCTGAGAAGACATCATCAAGAGACCCCCATCTCCCACTAACTCCACAAATCCAGCGGGTCCCTGTTTTCAGTAGGTGTCCCCCAACCCCAAGCACTCTTCCTCGCTCTCACCCCAGTGTTCTCTCCTCCCTTCCCAGTCTCACAATGGGTCTCATTCTAGAACATTCCCAGTGGTACCCAGATATTCTCTCACCTCCCCATCTTTAAATAAAACTCTCCCTGAGCATCCCTGAATTATTGTTGTCTCTGCCTCATTCATTTGAAGACCCACTGAACGAACGAGTCTGTACAGGTTGTCTCTGAACCTGCCTACCCTCCATCCTTCCATCTCTCCAGCCTGGTCTTGGGCCCTCACAATGGCACTGAAATGTCTACAGTCACTGTGTGTGTGTGTGTGTGTGTGTGTGTGTGTGTGTGTGTGTGTGTGT